AAAAGAAAACAAATGATCGAATAGACCAGTAGGCTATCCTGATTTGATCGAACTGACTAGTTTAAGTTGATTAAGCCTGTAAACTAATATTGATCGAATTGACCAGTGAACTTGTTTAACGTTTGATGTCCAAGAGACAAGTTCCTAGTTCTGCGAAATACGCGTTCTTATATACTTGTTTGACCGGAGCTTTTCGGTGTAGCGTACCGGGAAATTTCGTCGTTCGTGTTAACTTTTGTGCTTTTCGCAAGCCTTTTTTGTGTATTTTGTGTACTTTTCATGCTTTTGTGCATTTTTGTGTACTTTGTGTTGTATGCATGTTTCGTTTTCGCCGAGCTTTTTCGTTTGGCTTATCCCGCGTCTTTCTAATTTAAATCAGAAAGAAGGTTAAAGAAAAAAAGTTAAAGAAAGTTAAAGTTTAATTATAATTAATTAATTTTTTTAAGAAGATCTGTGCCAAAATATACGTGAGTGAAATTGTGGTAACAGAATTTTAACGCTGTTGTATAAAATCAGTGCAAGTGCATTATTATAATTTATTTTCTTGGATGGTGGTTTGATAATGTTTGTTAATAGAAAAATATAATTTTAATTAATACAGTGTTCATTGTTTTGTGGTTTAATACATAAAAGAAAAATAACCCAAACAAAGAATTATCAGAAAAAGTGTTTTTTTTCCGATATTTGTTAAATTTTTATATTTTATTGTTTTTTTCTTTCCGTGTTGTAAAAAAAAAGGTAAACAATGAGTGTTTTCTTTTTTTTTAATTGTTGATAGTTTATTTCTTTAACTTCATGTTTATTAAATAGTTACATAAAATGTGTTTTAGTAAATGTTCAATATATGTTTTATATTATTATTTGTAATTAAAAACTCATTTTTTTTCCTCCTTAACATATTTCAAGTTGTGCTTTCGTTTTGTTGTTATTTTTTTCTTTCTTCAGGTTGTTTTCAAGTCATGCCCGCGGCTCATTGACGCATGGATCGCAGGTAATGTTGTTGTTTTATGATCTCGATAAATATTTAAATAAATTTTATCCTTTCTAGGTTGTACGCTGAACTTTGTTGGGGGTGAGTTGGTTTCTGGTGTTGTCTGAAATTGTGTTGGTGATACGTTTCAGGCTGACGGTCTGACGTCAGATTTGTTTATGTATGGTTGAAATTAGTTCGTAGCAATTTTAACCTTTACAGTGTTATTCATAAAGTTTACACCCAAAGGAAAATGGTTAGTGTTATTTGTTGTTGTGACGCCGTCGTTGTTTATTATAGTCGTCGCAATGTAGTAGAAGTGCCGGTAGTGGTTGGTGTTGAAATGTCGGTAGTAGTTAGTTTTGCTGATTGAGACATTTGAATGAGATGTATTTTTGCAGAATTGTATTTTTAAAAAATGCTTCTCTCAATTTTATGGCTTCAAATTTTGACTCTAAATACATTACGCTAACTATGTTATTTAAATATTGTAACCTGTTTAATTTGTCTTTAATGATTTGGTCTTTATACTCTCTAATGCTAGTTTTCTTCGTGTTTCTTAGTATAGCCTGCACTTCACTAATGTGATAACTTCCATTAACTAAATTTAATGGAGTCAAAATCTTTCAGAGTCGTTTTTTTGTTTCTTATATTATCAGAAAGAACAACAAATTATGAAATAGCTAGACCAGTAATAATTAAAATCGATAGTAGTAATAAAATTTAATGATTGAATATATTGTTATTTAGTCGAGATAAAGATATTGTTTACACTATATTTATTCTATAAAAAAAAATTTTTTTTTGTGGTTTTAAATAATATAGTTTACATTATAAAATTTTTATGTAATTTTAAAGCATGTTTTATTTAAATTGTATCATATTTAAAAAAAAACGACTTAGGTTCGGTTTCTTATTTACTAACATATATTTTATTTACTTAAATTCTATTGGATAATAATACATAATCTAATTTTTTACTTACTCATTTCATTGGTTAACTACATTGTGTGTTCTAATGACACTTATTTCAATAAAAGTACTTCGGACCGATCATATTGCATACATTTAGCAGAAAAACTCTGCGTACAGAAAGTAAATTTTGTTTTAACAATAAAAAAATTATTAAATAAATAGATTTTTTTAATCAATTTTATTTTTTATTTGTACTTTAATTCGTTATTTTCATTTTAAGCTAAAACTTATTTCTAACAGATTAGTAGAAAAATTATAATAATTAAAAATGTAAAAAATCGGTGGCAGAAAAAGTCTGCGTACAAGAGTTTAAAAAACGTCGAAATATATTATTTTTTAAAAGATTTTACGTTTTTAGTAACCTCCATAAGTCGTTTTGGTATCAAATTGAGCATTTCTTTGAAGGTTATATTGTATTCACGTACAAAACGCTCCAGTAAATCCATTTTACATTTTAAAGTAACCAAAGCTTTACAACTTCTGCAGTGTGCTTTGGGTCGTTATCTTGTTGAAGTAAGTAATCATTCTGTAACTCCAACTTCTCGGCACTGCTCTTTAAATTGCATTTCAAAACATTTAAATAATCAACCTTATTCATTATCGACTCAATAAATTTCATTTTACCACTCCATTACTCGCCATACACCCCCGCACTATTACTCCTCCACTATCTTGTTTTATTGCTGAATATAAATCTTCATTATTAAAGGCAGTACCCGGGTTTCGTCATATAATCTTTCGACCTTTAATGCTAAAGAGACAAAATTTGCTTTCGTCTGAAAAAATTATGCGTTTCCAAAATGCTGGAGACTTATTTAAATACTCCCATGCGAATGCTAAACGCTTCATTTTAAAAGCTTTGGAGATAAGCGACTTGCTTCGTGCAAACCGGCCATTGTAGTGGTATTTTTTTGAATATTTTGTGTGCAGTATCCACGTGAATTTGCTTTTGGAATGTCTGGTCAATATATTTATATAACAAAAGTCCAGTTAGACCGGTATTATCTTTCTCTGAATTAATAATGCTGCGGGTTTCTCTTGTTGACAGCGTGGATGGACGCCCAAATCGCAATCGAGGTCAATAATCATGTTTACTACTCTTTGGATATCACTACTCTTTGGATAGAAGAATGTGACCGCTTAACGATTTGACCAATTTCGCGATAGATTTTCCTTTTTTCCATAGATCAATAATAATACTGCTCTCCCTGATAATAATTTCTTTTCCTTTATTTGTCATTATAAATTTAATTATAAAAAAACATAAAGCACGCCAAATTATCACTGTTAAAACTTCGGAAATTTCCCTTTATATGTTTTGTACGCAGACTTTTTCTGCCGCCGATAGTGCTGATTTTTTACATTTTTAATTATTATAATTTTTCTACTAATCTGTTAGAAATAAGCTTTAGCTTAAAATGAAGATAACGAATTAAAGTACAAATAAAAAATAAAATTGATTAAAAATATCTATTTATTTAATAATTTTTTTCTTGTTGAAACAAAATTTACTTTCTGTAACGAGTCGAGTTACTTAACTCGTAAAATATTTAAAAGTGGCATTTTAGTTTTTTATGTCATAAATTGCACATACATGGAAGCTTAAGTGTTTTGAGTAAATGTGTCATGCTAATTAACTCACACAGCAGATTGTGTGTGGTCAAGGTTAGTATGACACTACAACAGCCTCGAGTACTTCCTATAGTAATATCTAGGAACCCTTTGCGTGAGTTAGTTACAAATGTTGGTGTGTTGTCACCTCTTGTACTGGTGTTTGTGCTTCCCCATTCTTCGTTGTAGCGTTAGAGTCGCAATCAAGTATAAGTGGCATCTTCGATCTCTGGCAGTAGTTCACCAGTTTATCGACCTTTGGGGATGGTACCTAAGTGTAGTCTCCTGGTAAATAGCCTATAGCTAAGACCACGTTTTGTGGAACTCCGTTAATGTTGACCGGAATTTGTATGGCACAGAGGTTCCTGGAGAGAAATTCTGAAAGATAGATAATGTTTATGTTTGTATTTAATTAATATTATTTTATATTTTTGTTTTTGTTATGATATTTGGTTACATGTGTTTACATATTATTTGGGCCAACACTGCGACCAGTCATTGACCAACGAAAAGTGCAATTTTGCATTATCAGCTTTTCTTGTTGGTCAATGCACTGAAGAAAGTGTGTAATATGTTGGCCTATAATTATGTCAGCACAGCGTAGGCAAATTTATTTATTTGTGAATTATGCATTAATATTTATTGTCAATTAATGCATAATTTAATAGCTTTTTTATGAAATAATTTTGTATAAATAGAAGAAATAATTTTAATAAAGTTCAGAAAAAGAAACGAAATACAAACCAATTATAACTTTCATTTCTTACTTACTCGCATCGATTAGTTTGGGTTTCAAGTGCTCAAACTAATCAACATAAAAACTACAAGTAGTTTGGGTTACAAGTGCTCAAACTACTTTACACACAAAAATTGGCTACCAAGCTAACACAGATTAAGGATCTGGGTTAGCACCAAGTAGCGTACATTTTTTGGTGACCCCGACGTGATTGTTGATAAAATATCAGCTTTCATTTTGTCGAAATACATATCGAAGGAGTCAATTACCTACAAAAGGACACACCAAAAGGTCTACTCATTAACCAGCTGAAGTATTTATTGGAATTTTCGGACCGAAAATTCAAACATCGCTGTGGATGCGTTATTAAAGAAGCAGTCAGAGCTCGGTACAGTGATTGAGCAACTGATAACCAATTTTAAAAAGGACTCTAGTATCCGGAAGCAGGATTCCATTTACTATGAAGACCGACTAAAGAAGCTAAATTCCCTATGGAATGATTTTGAAATAAATGATGCTGAAATCAAAGCATTGCCCCAACCTGAACTCGAACACGAGTATTTCAGTACAGGTTACTTTGAAAAAATCTCCAATCTAGTAATCAAATATGATGAACGATTCAAGTTGGAGAAATCAAGGCTACTCCTGAAACCACAGGACGGAAAGCCAGTAATAAGTCCAAATAATACTACATCGCTCATGCGAACCATGCAAAAGCAATTGTCATTAATGCATGCATTACGCGCAAACATAGACGAAATATATGAAGAAATAACCATAAAACATCATTCAAGTTATTATGATCTGAAATATTCTCTGATAGAAAAATATCAGAAGGATCTGAAGGATAACAATGATGAAATATGGTCATCAGCCGACGCAGAAGACATCGTCGGATATACTTGGGATCAATACTATTCAACGGATAAAGATGCCCAAAACGCGTTGATATATTTAAAACAACACAGTCAACCAACTGAAGGATTGACGTCAGAGGGGCCTGCAGCAACTCAACAAATCAGACTTCCAAAAATAGTTTTACCAACATTTGATGGAGACTATTTAAAATGGATTGAATTTAGAGATTTGTTTCAACAATTGATCCATGATCAATCAATAAGCGCAGCCCACAAAATGTTCCATCTATCTACAAATTTGGCGCGTGAGCCAAAAGCCCTCATACGGCATCTGCCAATTTCCGAGCAAAATTACAATATAGCTTGGGATATTCTGTCAAATCGGTATGACAATAAACGACTCTTGGTGACAGCATTACTAAATAAATTGTTATCACAACCAAATATAACAATTGAATCAGCAAGCAGTCTTAAGGGCATACATGATGTTACAAAAGAATGTTATTATGGATTAGTAGCTCAAGGTATTGATGTTAAATCTTGGGACGCCATAATGGTTCACGTAATTATTAGAAAGCTGGACAAAGCTTCACATACAGCATTCGAGCAATCGTTAGAAGACAGCCGAAGAATAATTTCATTAAAAGAATTATTGCGGTTCCTAGAAGGAAGATTTCAGACATTCGAATTAATGACGAATGGAAACCACAAACAAAGTCACAAACCACGACATCCAGCAGTAGCACTTACAGCTACAGACTCAGGATCAAAATGTATTACTTGCAATAGTAGTCATCAATTATTTTCATGTGAAACTTTCAAACGTAAATCCATACAACAGAAGTATGATTTACTAAAACGTCATAAATTGTGCACAAACTGCATGAAACCTGGTCATATGGCATTACAATGCTCCAGCAGGGGTTGTACTATATGCCAAAGAAGACATAATACACTGTTGCATCAAAATAGACACCCAGTTCAACCATCAAATCATAAGTTAGTTGAAAACACTTCAAGGCCACTTGCACAAACAACTCTAATGTCATCTATCAATCATGGTCATACCAGTTGCGTTCTTTTGGGAACAGCAAAACTTTTAGCCTCCAACTCTAATGGAAGAACAGTCGAGTGCAGAGCAGTACTGGATTCAGGTTCACAAATAAATATTGTGACTGAACGACTGGCATCCAGATTGGGTCTGCAAGTAAGCTCCAGTTCGATTTGCATCGAAGGCATAGGGATAGGTAAATTGAGTTCTAAAAGTCGTACAACACTTTCTGTGCAATCAAAAGTGACCGATTACAAAACAATACTTGAAGCATTTGTGTTGCCAAAAATTGTATCCAATCAACCATCGCAACACTTACAAATTTCAAATTGGAATCTGCCCAATAACATCCAATTAGCAGATCCTACATTCTATAAGTCTGACAAAATTGATATGTTGCTTGGAGCAGAATTTTATCATCAACTCCTAAGTCCTGGTCAAATACAACTTTCAAGGGAACTACCAATTCTATAGAACGCTGTGCTCGGATGGATTGTATCTGGAAAAATCCAAAATGCTAACACAATGATTGCAACATGTGGAATAGCATCTGAAGATAGTTTAGAAAATGCAATAGAACAACTTTGGAAGGTTGAAGAAGTTGATACTCACTCAAAGGTCTTGTCAATAACAGAACAACAATGTGAAGCTCAATTCACTCAAACTACATATCAGAATGTTACAGGATGACTCATCGTACGTCTTCCTTTTATAAATGACAGATTCTCTTTGGGAGATTCGAAAGACATTGCTACAAATAGATTTCTAGCACTAGAGCGTAGACTTCCAAAGGATAGTCACCTCAAACGACAATACATGCAGTTTTTAAATGAATATGAAAAATTGGGACATATGACCGAAATAGATATTGAAAGGATTATGTCATCACATTACTTTATCCCACACCATTGTGTGCTTAAACCTGACAGTACCACCACCAAGTTACGTGTGGTATTTGATGCATCATCCAAAACAACATCAGGGCAATCTCTCAATGATTTACTACACATCGGACCAACTGTTCAAAGTGAATTACTGTCTATTTTACTACGATTCCGTCTTCCTCGTTATGTGTTTACAACAGACATTGAAAAGATGTACCGACAAATACTTGTACATCCAGAAGACAGTAATGTCAGCTTATTGTTTGGAGAAATTAACCAAGTCAACCTATAAAGTACTTTGAACTCAACACAGTAACATATGGTACTAGATCAGCACCATATCTAGCTGCTCTCAAACGAAATTTCTATGTAGATGACTGTTTAAATGGGGCAGATAGTCTGAGAACATTGTTGGAAACTCAGAGTCAATTAAACAAAATACTGACAGCAAACGGTTATAAATTGCGAAAATGGTTCGCAAATCATCCAAGTTTACTACAAGGAATTCCACACGATGACCTAGAAGTCAATTTAGATTTAGAAAATAATAACGATACAACAAAAACTCTTGGATTATCCTGGTATCCAAAATCTGATAGTTTATGCGTGAAGGTTAAATTGGAACCCGTTTGCAGCACGACGAAGCGCAGTGCAACCTCAGATTTAGCAAGGTTATTTGATCCACTAGGACTTTTGTCACCAGTTGTGGCGATGGCAAAGATCTTTATTCAAGAATTATGGAATTTAAAGATGGATTGGGATGAAAAACTGCCGACTGAATTACATAAACAGTGGTTAGAGTTCCTGAACAATTTGACAAAAGTAAATTGTCTGCAGATATTTCGTCATATTTTCAAAGGCGAAGTTCCTGCCAACATTCAATTACACATCTTTACAGATGCATCAGAAAAGGTATATGGCGCTGCGGCGTATTTGCGATCAACACTTCAGAATGGTCAAATTATTGTACGACTATTGTGTGCCAAATCTCGGGTTGCACCTTTGAAAAGGTTGACATTACCTCTTCTCGAACTTTGTGCAGCTGTGGTTGGCGCAGAACTAGCAACAAGAATAAAGAACGACCTACAAATAAGAAATTACCAGACGTTCTTTTGGCGTGATTCACAAATAGTGATATCATGGATCAACTCTCCATCATCAAAGTTTCACACTTTCGTTGCAAACAGAGTAAGCAACATTCATCAATTAACAGCCACAAGTCAGTGGTGCCACGTCAGTTTGGAACACAATCCAGCTGACATTTTATCAAGAGGCCTTGCACCCCATAAACTACAGTCATCAAGTATGTGGTTTTATGGACCCATGTTCTTACATGGTCGGAAAGAATTGTGGCCTTCAAAACCATCATCAGCGTTAAAATCCGAAACCCTCATTGATCCTGAACGGAAGAAGGAAACTCAAGTATCTACATTGTCTGTTGTTGAAGGCACAGCAAATCCTGGAGAGTTCATATACTCAATACGACACAACAACTCATTTGGAAGACTTCAACGGATATTATCGTATATATTAAGATTCGTAAAAAGAACCAGAAGGATACAAAATGATCATTCAAGCAATTTTTTGACTCCAGATGATCTAGATGCAGCACATCAGGTCATCATCAAAAGTATTCAATATGCAGAATTCAAAAATGAAATCAAAATTATGAAATCTGATGGTAGAATAAATAAGTCCAGTGCATTGGCATCACTGGCACCTTTTATTGATAATACGTGCATCAAAGAGTTGGTGGACATTTGGATGCAGCCACATTATCGTATGACGCAAAACATCCTATGTTGTTGCCTTATAACGACCCCATTTTCAAATTAATAATGGAACAAGTCCATAAGAAATACATGCACTGTGGTCCACAGTCTCTCCTAGCTAACATGCGTCAACGATACTGGCCAATTAAGGGCAAATTGATGGCAAGGTCATTAGTACAACATTGTGTACGTTGTACTAAAGTAAGACCACGATTTTATGAACAACTGATGGGTAATTTGCCAGCGACAAGAGTACAACCTGGGCGACCATTCCTCACCACTGGAGTGGACTTTTGCGGACCTTTTTGGATACATTATAGAATCCGAGGCAAGAAACCACACAAGGCATACATTGCTGTGTACTGTTGTTTTACAACTAAGACAGTTCACCTCGAAGTAGTTAGCGATTTAACCACAGATGCATTCATCGGATCGCTGAAACGTTTTATTGCTCGAAGAGGACACTGCAAAAATTTGTTTTGTGACAATGCCACAAATTTCGTGGGAGCAAACAATCAACTAATTGAACTTGCAGACTCAATTCAAGCAAACAAGGCACAAGAGAAGATAATTAACGAATGTAATGAAAGAGGAATAACATTTAAATTTATACCTCCTCGTGCACCACACTTCGGTGGACTGTAGGAAGCAGCAGTCAAATCAGCAAAACACTTATTGATACGAAGTACTAAGACGACTTCACTAACATATGAGGAACTAGAGACTGTGGTAGTAGAAGTCGAAGCAATACTGAACTCTCGACCATTGACCCCTATGTCGAGTAATCCGAATGACTTGTCAGCACTAACACCTGGACATTTCTTAATCGGAGAACCGCTCACAGCAATGGCAGATGCAAATGTCCAATCAGGAAATATAAATTTGGTGACAAGGTGGAAATTAGTTTCTCGCCTCAAATTGGACTTTTGGGAACGTTGGAAAACCGAGTAACTCAATGAACTACAATGTCGACACAAATGGAAAGCAGCCAATCCAAATATAACAGAAGGTACCCTTGTAATCATCAAGGAAGATAATGTTCCTACATTAAAATGGCCGCTTGGACGTATTTCAAAGGTATATAAGGGAGATGACGGTCTTGTTCGCGTGGTTGATGTTAAAATGGCTTCAGGAACTCTAAGACGTCCTTTGACAAGACTAGCGCCTCTGTTTCCATCCGATGAACAATATCCTGTTTCTGATGAACAACTTTCAAAAAGTTTTACAAAAGCGAATTCGAAAACACCACACGAAGACGCAGAGCAAGACGAGCCACCTAAAGAGTATTCACGGCCAATGTCTAATTCATTACTGTGCACAATGTTATTATCACTATTATTCCTGCCATTGGTATCAGGGAATTCAGTGAATGTAACACGTTTCGACAATAATTTAGGAATATACATTGAATCCATTGGCTTGATGAAAGTAGCAACGGCAGAATGGAAAATGATTGTTTACTATGATCTTCATCCATATTGGACCGAAATGGACTCCTTCAACAACGGGACTAAAACCATCAAACGTTTATGTTCAGTATTGCAAACACATACAGCATGTACTTCTCTCTATACTCATTTTAAACATGTAAGAGATGAGTTGTTGCAAGACCAAACATTATTATATAAAAGCCGGAACAAGCGAGCTGCAATTAACATAGTAGGAAATATTGCACACACCTTATTCGGAGTGCTTGATTCAGATTACGCTGAGAGCATGTCTGACACAATAAATCAACTTAACAGTAGAGATGATTATGCAATGCAGTTAATTCATAATCAAACATCTATTATAGATTCCACAATAAATATAATCAAACGAGATGAAGTTACCATGCAGTCCCGAATGAATCATTTGCAAAAGCAGGCTGATGAGTTTCTGAATAGAATTGGAACTGCAACAGAACAGATACATGTCACTCAATTACTACTTTCATTATCTGCAGAACTCACATTAATGGTATCCAATCTTCAACACATCCAGTCGGAGATAATTAATGTGCTTACAGATACACATCATGGGAAAATCAGTCCACTGCTATTAACTCCTGAGCAATTAACAAAGGAGATTAACAGAATCATCGTCGCGTACATTACCGTTCACAGAAGACAATTTGACCGATTTTTACAAGCTAATGAAAGTGAAGTCAACAATTAAAAATCAGCATGTATTATTTTTAATACAACTACCACTGCTAGACAAGCAACAATTTGAATTGTTCAAGACAACACCGATACCGGTTGTAATAAACAAAACCATGATAATTATCAAAACTGAAGTGGAGTACTTGGCAACCAACACTGTTCGAGATCAGTACATTCCATTTGATGACCATAAGTTACGGGAATGTTTTTTAACCAAGGATAATATATACCTTTGCGCTAATAAACAAACAAGACTAGGTATAGCATCATCGGTACATTCATGTGAAATTAATCTATTTAATGGTAACCAGTCAACAACATGCAATATAATAAAACTTCAAGGAAATATTGCATTGAAACAACTACACAACCCGACCCAGTGGCTATACGCAACAAAACTTGAAACATTGATGTCAGCTAGTTGTGAGACCTACTTGAGTCAGTTCTCACTGATAGGATCCGGAATGCTTACATTTGGACCTACGTGCATCATTAAAAACGCAGAAATAACCATACATGGCCACTATTTTATCTCCAGCACTGTATCCACGTCATTTCCACGATTTGGAAATTTATCAACAGTTGTACACATTAATGAGATGCAGAAAATCTTCAATACAACACCAAATGATGTAGAAACACAACTCAAGGAACTCACAGAATTACAGAACCAGCTAACTAAGGAAAACTTGACGTATCTTCCCTCCACAGTGCGATTAAACAGTATTCATCATCATACGATAAGTTATTTGGCGTTGTTAATTTCTATAACAATAATAATAATCATTACTTGGAAAACCAAACATAACATATGTCAGAAACACACAGTAAGCGAAATTTCAACACGAGGAAATGATATGCAGAATGCAGAATTACGTCAACAAAATTTGGACTTCACTGTGACCACAACCTAGGACAAGTTGAGTTGGCACTCAACGGCAGGGAGAATGTTTATGTTTGTATTTAATTAATATTATTTTATATTTTTGTTTTTGTTATGATATTTGGTTACATGTGTTTACATATTATTTGGGCCAACACTGCGACCAGTCATTGACCAACGAAAAGTGCAATTTTGCATTATCAGCTTTTCTTGTTGGTCAATGGCCTATAATTATGTCAGCACAGCGTAGGCAAATTTATTTATTTGTGAATTATGCATTAATATTTATTGTCAATTAATGCATAATTTAATAGCTTTTTTATGAAATAATTTTGTATAAATAGAAGAAATAATTTTAATAAAGTTCAGAAAAAGAAACGAAATACAAACCAATTATAACTTTCATTTCTTACCAGGGTTCAGAAAAACACTGTGCTGTGCACAAAAATGCAAAACACCACGCACAAATGTTGTGCGATTCTAAATAAAATTTCACACCACAAATGTGGTGTGCGAAAATTTTTGTGCACATCTTAAGTGCCACATCTTGTGTGCACAAACAAAACGCACATTTCACACGAATGTGGTGGAGTGAAATAAAACTCGCACACGCATTCGGTGTTTGTGCCGAAGTTATTTCGCACAGCACATTGTGTGTGCGGCAGCCAGCTTGCTCTCGCACACAACGTGTGCAGAAAAGAATACGAGGAGCACATTTTGTGTGCAGACTCGAAAATAAAAATGCACCCAAATGTGCGGAGACGAAATGTCTACTGCACATTTGTGTGAAATGATGATTTAAAAGCGCACAATATTATGACAAATATCGCAGCAAAATTGTACGTAAAACTGATTTGTATTAATTTTGGTCTTAATGCGAAATATTTTATTGAAGAAATGATTTTGTATTTATATTTTAATTTTGAATTTATTATTAGATTTACATTTATTGCTTATATTACTTATTATTTTAAGGTTTACTAATTTAAAACATGGGAATAAAGTTAATTTCACAATGTACTTGAAAACTTTGTTATATTAAATAGGTACATGAATTTAATAGAGAAAGAGTATTTGTTTCAAAATGTTATAAGTAAAGAGGATCGGTTCTACGGATCGTACTTTGAAAAAATTATATATATCAATTTTGGACTACTTCATAAAATTTTATTTAATAGTAAGTTGTACACTAAGATTCGTTAGTAAGGTTATAAAAACCAAATTAAATATTTTTTACAACAACATAAATTAATTTTGTTATTAGATTTCACTTAATTTTTTATCTTTAATTACAGCTTAAATTTAACGAAGTTATTGAAATAATTCAATAATTTAATATCTTAATTTCTTATTAAAAAATATATAATTTTTATTACATATTTTTTGAAGTAAATTTTCATTTAATCTTATTAATAACATTGCTGAAATATTTTTTTCACTTAAATTATATCTTTGGTTACTTAGCACAGTAGAAAGGGCGCTAAAATCCTGCTACCTGTTCAAGAAAATATTTTCCTTATCTTTCGCGTTTTTTAATGAATGTTAGATACTCTACCTAAGTGAATACATATTTCTGGAGAAGAAAAATATCTATTTGTGGCCCTCCTGTATTATCTTTTTTAAACTGTTGCAAATTTTATTAAACAAATACACCAATACCAATACCTGCTACCTGTTCAAAAAAAATATTTTCCTAATCTTTCGTGTTTTTTAATAAAAGTTAGATACTCTACCTATGTAAATACATATTTTTTGGGCATAAAAAAAACTTCCTAAAATATGTTTTTATTTCTTTTAAACTGGTGCAAAACTTTCCAAACAAATACTTTAAGATCACTTACTATATTTGCATTTAAAAATGCACAAAGTAATATACAAAAAACTGATATTTTAAGTTAAAATACAAATAAGGTTAAGACAGTTATAATTTTTAGTTAACATTACTTAACAAAAATAATTATTTTAAATATTTGTTAATTTATGCAATTTTTAATATAAGTTACAGTCCCAAAGAACGCAAATATCAATTTCTTCAAAATTTGCAACAATATAATATTTTCTATTTCAAACAAAATTGTGAAGTTCCTGTAATTTTTTTCCACCCTTGGGTGCAAGCGCAAAATCGTACATTTGTGCACGTTTGTGCAACCGCACATTTGTGCACATTTGTGCACGTTTGTGCAGTCGCACATTTGTGCACATTTGTGCAAACGTAATATGAGCAGCACACTCGTGTGCAAAGAGAATTTTTTGTCGCACAGTGCGGTGCGAGCATAAAATTTTCTCGCACATCTGATTGTGCACATTTTTGTAAATCAGTCGCACAGCACAAATGTGTGTGGACGAATCTGTGTGCACAATCATTGCTTTGTGCGATGTGAAATTTGAAATCGCACAACAAATTTGAGTGCGTGCATTTTTTTTCTTAACACCACAAATGTGCGTGTACATATTTTAAAAACAATTTCCACTCGCACAGTGCAGTGTGCGATTTTGTGCACCACATTCCGAACTCTGTTTCTTACTTTCTCGCATCGATTAGGTTAGGTTTTAAGTGCTCAAACTAATCAACACAAAAAATACAAGTAGTTTGGGTTACAAGTGCTCAAACTACTTTA